TGGTGGTAGAGGGGGTTTGAGCGACGGGGAATGAGATGGAGATAGGGAGAGAGAGAGTGTGTCAGAGAGAGGTTGATGGTGGTGATGATGGGGAGAGAGATATATATAAAGAGAGCTGAGAGAAGAGAGTGAGACAGGATAGAGAGATGAGGAGTGAGCTGGATAAATAATAGAGGAGAGAGAATGAGGGTGGGATTTCTTTTGAGGGGAGAGAGAGAGAATCACGTGGGTTTTGGGGGAATCAGGGAGGAAACATGAGGAGGGAATTGCGGGAAATGAGGAGGAAATTAAGGAGTGATTTAGGGGAAGTGGGGTAGGAGAGGGAGAGATACACAGAGATGAAGAGAGATATACAGGGTAAATATACCGGTAAGGGGGAAAACACAGGGAAAATACCCCTATATAAAAATATACAAGAAAAATAATTCAAATAAATATTAAAATTTTATGTTCAAAATAATAATAACAATAATGAATAATTAACTATTAATTTATAAAGTTTTACCGAACAGCTAAATTTATAATTAAAAAACCATTAAAATATTATAATACCATATTTTTAAATCATAAAAAATTAGGAAAAATACAAATACTCTTTTAGAAAAATAATATTTAATATTTAAATACCAAAAAATTTTATTCAAATCAAAATCAAAAATCACGGTCCTTACATCCTACCCCCCCCCCCCTTAAAACAAATTCCGTCCTCGGAATTCAAACCCAAGGACAGAGATATGGAACAAGAGTGGGTACTCGCAAATCGATGAGACAATAAACAATAGGAAGCCCCAGAGTCAAAGGGTGATAAAGCAAGAACAGAAAAAACAAGAACGTTGCATATTACAGGAGGAAGAAAATACGTCTAAACTAGCACTCATAAATAAATACTATCATAATATCATCAGGCAATACTAATAAGGAAAATCACATGCAAGTAAAATTGAGAATGAACAACTCTTACCTGTAATAACCTGGTCGTTTGCCTCAGTTTCCACGGCCGTAATCATGAATGTCTGATGTGGTGGTTGTTGCATCTGCGCTCCCTGATAAACCTGCTGTTGTGGAGGAAGTGGTCCTGCTCGAGGGTAAGGTCTGTGCTAAGTTGGAGCTGCTGAGGCTGACCAAGGTGGAGCTAGAAGAGCTGTCCGAACTGGAGGTGGGGGCAAGCTGGCCTGTTGTCGCTGAGGACAGTCCCGGCTGACATGGTCGGGGGTTCCACAAGCATAGCACTGATGAAGTCGCCTACGGCACTCCTGATGGGTATGCCCAGCGTGCCCACAATAAGAACACTTCACTGAAGACTGACCATGGGTCTGCACTCCAGGGTGCTGATAGGGATGCACAAGAGGAAGTGGCTGGCGCTGAGAAAACTATTGTCGTTGCAGATTCTGCTGCTGCCTCGAAGGTGTATGCTCGTCATCTCAGGCCGGAGCTGCTGGTGTCCTGCTCTGGATCACATGTGGGTCTTCAGGCTCCCTTTGAACGCTCTCGATCTCGCGTGCGGCATCCAACATGGTGTCGTAGGTTGCAAGTGCTCTATCAGCTAGAGCCAATCTAATATACTAGTTCAGACCCATCTGAAACTGATGCCTCCTATTCGTAGGGTCTGTAACCAAGTGGGGAGCATATCGGCTCATAGAAGAAAACTCAGCCTCGTACTCGTCAACTGTTCGCCCTCCTTGCTTGAGCTCAACAAATCTTCGTAGGAGTTCATCCCGAGCTGACTGAGGAAAATATTTCCTGTTGAAGCGGTCTGTGAATTTATCCCACAAAATCAGTCTCTCCAAATGAGCCTTTTTTGCAGTCCACCAAATCCGAGCGGTGTCGGTGAGCTGAATATCCATAAGGTCAACCCATTCAGCAGGGGCAATATGGGTCACCGTGAGAATAGTCTCAGTGACCTTCAAGAATTCCTCCGCTGCTAGGGGTCCTTCAGTACCAGAGAAAGAAGGGGGCCGCATATACCGGAACTCCCTAACACTAGACTCTGGACGATGGGGAGGCTGATGCTGAGGCTCCCGCTGCAAATGCCCAGCCAAGAACTGCTGATTCGCCACCAATCCATGAATCATCTCCAAAAGCTGGTGCGGTTCCACTTCAGGCTGTGTTGTACTGCTACTGGGCTGGCTACCATTACCACGCGTAATCACCATGGTTCTAAGGAAAAACGAGGATTGAGAGGATAACCAAGGTAAAAATCAAAATAATATATTGTAAAAATAGTAACTAAAATATAATTATCAAAATAATAGTATTAGAACTTAATTGTAGTCTTACGGATGAAATATGATATGTATCTAAATTGTCTACCATATCCTTACTAGTGAGGACTCGGGACCATGACCTGCATGGGCCACCAATAAAACCTGTCACGCCACGCTTCCCAAAATACCTGGGAACCGGAACGTGAACAAGCCCACGACGTATTAGGTTGAGTAGAAATAAATAATAAAACTCTTTCTACTCAATCTAATACGCTAAACGTTAAGAAAATGTAAAATACGAAGTCAAAGGTCCCCGATCACACATAGCAAGAGTATAATGAACAACTCAGAATGGAAAAGATACATATCACAAATAGAATATCATCCAGCACACAGAGTTGGGTCAAACACGCCCTTATTACAAAACGGTCTAACTAAAAATATAAAAATACATAGTCCAATAGAAATAAAAGGAAAGTACTGCTAAAACAACTAAATCCAACATCTGACTAAATAAAATAAGGTTCTGCAAAAGAGATCTAGCGCTCATCAACTACTACAGAAATAAAAGTCTAAGCTTCAGATTATTCTTTTGATCCATGTGGAAGACCTTACTGCTGCAAATCATCTGGCTCCTGTACTATCCCGAACTGAGGCTGCTCATCTCCTAAATCTGACGTACACCAGAGAAAAACAGGTGTACGTCAGGGTGCATGGCACACGGCAAGATCCCACAATGGAGAAATATGAACAGTCGAACGACACAAGCAAAAACAGTAATAATAGTAAAAGAAGCATGCTACTTGAATACTAATAACCTAAATGCAATCTACCACTAGAATATAATAATCAGGAGAATCCAAGAAAGTCAACCAATCTACCACTAGAATATAATAATCAGGAGAATCCAAGAAAGTCAACCAAGTAACAAGTCGATCATGCAGCCAACGATCAGAATAATCATCCAAGTAGTCGATCATGCAGCCAACGATCAGAATAATCATCCAAGTAACAAGGTCATACACTAGATGAAATTAATAATTAAAAATCTACAACTCGAGATGTAGTACGTCGAGCGAAATAATCCAAACTACCCTTATGTATATACCATATATCTCAAATTGTAGATAATTAAATATTAATCCCGATCTATGTATAAGAGAAATACAGCAGGCCTGTTCGCGGGGAAAATCATCTTTGTTGATGTCATTATTTCCTTAAGCAACAGTTTATCGGTTACAAAAGATTCGGTCTTTTTATAAGATCCGGTTACAACAAAATCAAACAAAGATAAAAAAATTACAACTTTCCTTCTTTCGGAACAAATCACAAGATCCTGTTTTGCGATCTCTTGCTTGTGTGGGTTCTTTGCCTACGTCGGGATTAATCCGTGGACCACCGCGCGAGCTTGATCCGGTCAGATCTACACGGTATGATGGGTGCTATTTCACAAAGGAAATAACAACCGAGGGGATTATTTCGCCAAGGAAATAATAGTCCCAAGTAATCGAAATCGACCAAGCGAAATCGATACTCTTCTCGGGATCAAAAACCAAGGTTTGATCCGGAGAAGTAATCGAAATCGACCAAGCGAAATCGATACTCTTCTCGGGATCAAAAACCAAGGTTTGATCCGGAGGATAACCGTGTGGATCTCAGATCTGATCTCTCTCGAACTCCTACCTTATTTGACATGGATGACCACCAAGAACCATATCTGAAAAGCCCGAGTCTTCCAAGCTCCAAAACTCCGAGGTTTAACTCTTGATCCGGCAGAGTTTCGCCTCCAAAGTTCAATCAAAAGTCCAACCCCTCAAAAATAAACCCTCCTTCTCTATTTATAGGCATCTCAATCCAGATCTGGGCTCAGATCTGGGCCCAGATCTCAGTGGGGCCCAGGTGGCTCGGCCACCGAGCCACCTCTTGGTGGCTCGGTTTTGGCTGAGCCACCAGGTGGGTGGCGCGCCCCCCGAGCCACCTAGAGGTGGCTCGGCCACCGAGCCACCTAGAGGTGGCTCGGTTTCGGCCGAGCCCTCCAGGTGTTTGGTTTTGTGCCCGTTTTCCAGTTTTGCGGTTTATTCGAACTTCATTGTTGATCTGGACTCTGATTTGAGTCCGAATTCGATCTTGATTTGATCTTGATTCGTTCGAGTCCGCTCCCGATCTTGTTTGATGTGGTGGACTCTATGGTTGGATGACTCATTGATTCATCGACCCGTTAGTTTGATTGGAAACGCAATTGGATGTATTCTGTTGTTTGCGTGTAGTTCGTTAACCTCGTCGCCTCGTTAATCCGCTTCGTCGCGTCTCACTTGGCTTTAGTGTTGTGGTCTAACGAACATGCTTGGATATATCACTCGATGGTTCGTTGGTCTGTCGAATCACCACGCCGAGCTGTGTTAAGGGACCTTTAGGTAGTTTTATACGCCTACAGATACCCCCTCCAAAGTATTTCAACCTCGTTCCATTATGGAAGAGTCTGGAACACTTTGGATATGATTGTCCCAACCTTCAATCGGTATGACGAGACTTTGGAATGACTTCTATTCTTAATTCCTTCATTCCTCCAGGCTATTCGGTGCTTTGTCGAATGTCTGCAAGGGTTCCGATGCTGCATTTATTATCTGACCATTGTCGGAATTTTGAACTTGAAGTCAATTCCTGATTTTATAATCTTTAGCTCGTGTTTGCTGTTTTAACATAGAAACGACCATCGATTGTTGGCGTTGAGTCTTCATTTGCAACGCGTTGTCCGGCGTTTGACACAGTTTATACTCATACATCTGCTGGAGTCTTGAGAAGCAGTTTATACTCTTATACTTTTCAAAGTGTGGCGGTCTCAAATTTGGGGCTACAGGACCAACTATTACAGTTGTTTCATCTGCATATATGGATATTAACCCGAAGTTGTTGGATGCCCAAGTCACGAGACCAACTCATAAAGTTGATGCGTCAATGACTCACATTTATAGAATTTTTGGCGAATTCTCAGCCATCAACGGGTTTGATAAGCCTTTACCGACTACCGTTTGAGTCGGGCTAGCATGCGCATGTAACGTTGTGCTAAGAGAGTGAATTCTCTGAGACTTTGTGCTATGATGTCGAATACATAGGCTTTACCATTTGTTACGGGAATAGGCTACCCGGCAACGCGTGTTAGGCGTTGACTTTAGGATTTTTGGCTAACCCCCAGCCTTCAACGGATTTGATTAGCCTTTACCGACTACCGTTTGAGTCGGGCTAGCATGCGGATTGTCTAAATCCGTTCCGCATGTGACGTTGTGCTAATAGAATTGTTCGCGGGAAAAATTGTTTTCTTCATTGAAGTCATTGTTCTCTTAACTTCAATTTGAGTTATGGTTCAAATATGGTTCAAACTGGTTCAACCTAGTTCAAGACTGGTTCAAGGCTGGTTCAGGATTGGTTCAAGACTGGTTCAGACTGGTTCATCTTGGTCTGGTCTGGTTCAGTCTGGCTTGGGCTGGTTCAGCCTGGTTTGGCCTGGTTCAGCCTCTTTTGAACTGATTTAGACTGGTCTGGTCTGGTTCAACCTGGTCCGGTCTGGTTCAAGGCTGGTTCACCTATAAAAGCCTCTCTTTTCCTCCTCTCTAGGGCCGCCCCCCCTTGTCCCTCTTTTTGGATTTTCTCTTCCCTCGAGCATCCTTTCTCCCTCAAATCTTTACAATTGTCTTAGATCTAGTCTTCCTTTGGATCTTAGACTGAAAAATCCCTCAAAAATTTCCATATAAAAATTTTAACATATTTTTGTCGGATCTGATTTTTGTCGGATCCTCGAGCTTTCTTTCAGGTATATCCTCCATGATTTTAACATATTTCATGGATCTGATTTTTGTCGGATCCTCGAGCTTTCTTTCAGGTATATCCTCCATGATTTTAACATATTTCATGCTTAATTCAATTTATGAATTTGTGGGATCGCATGTGAGGGTTAGGATTATGATTTGGCGCCTCGAGCTCGTCTTTCAGGGGGGTAGAATTGCAATAAAAAAGGGGAATTTTTTTTTTCTGGATCTAATCCCCTAATTTATTTTGCAGATCATCATGTCGCGTGTCCCGAGAGGTCGCTCCCCTGCTGCGTCGGCTGATGGCGTGCTTCCCTCGTATGCTGGTGAGCTATTTTTGGCATATTTGGAAATTTACAAATTAGTCCTCTTTTTCTTAGAAATTTGCAAATTAGTCCTTTTTCCCCACGTTGTTCTCCCTTGGTGAGGATTAAAGATAGGTTTTGCTTGGTCAAAACCATATCTCAAAATAAAGGGGGCGTTTTCACGCTGCATTGTGCCTTATAAGGCAGGGATATATTGTCGATATACCCTATCTTATGAATGCACAATGTGGCCAAATCGTCTCACCCTTTATAAGGCAATGACTCTATACTACCCATTTGTAAGATGAGTTCAATTTCCTTTTATAACTGGAATTAACAAACGTTTAATTGCTTGTTTTCAGTGGAGTATCCTTCCGGAGCATTTTCATCTCACGGTGAACGAACGTCGTGACGAGTATTATTCGACGTCCGATGATTTTCCACCCATTCCACTTATGCTTCAGTTTGTTCCGGGCACGTCGACAGAGGTTGCCCAAGTGGTGAAGGAAGGTGGACATCGAGCTCTTCGACAGTTGATTACAGATGCGCCTTTTGTGAAGGATGCCAGTTCTGTTCAGTCTCTCAGGAAGACTGACTTTTTATTTGGCGATTCTGTCAGAGATCCTAATGCAGTGTTCATTAATGCCGAGCAGTGGCTCCATAAGAATAGCGGTGGTTTCATATATTTGCCGAAGATTCCTCGACACTGCTCGTTGACTGAGCTTAGGCGTCAGGCTGCTAAACGGGAGATGTCGTGGCGCTTGACGGAGGAGCATGAGAGCGTTCACTGTGGCTATATCACTCATCAGGCAGTTCTTGGTTCGAGCAGGAATCACATCAT